TGTGCTGTAAACAACCCTACTGAGAGAAGTACCGAGCCGAACGAGACGACTGTAAATGAGAGCTGCTGCTRTGTCAGACAAATTTAATTTAATTTGGAAACCTTATCAACACGGACTGGCTTCATTCACTTCCTCCCCTGCCTTTGCTAACCTGCTAACTAACTAGCAGATACTGTGCAGAAAATCGACATCGTTCAAAACTCTGCCTTCTGTTCTCTGATTGGCCCAGGTAAAATTAACTACAAGCAGACTCTGCACAGAAAATCAACGTTCTCTTCTCTGATTGGTTCGGCTAAAAATCTGCCAGCGCAGTCCTTGTCTATGGGAGAAATGCCAGACGGAGCAGTGAAGTGAAACTAGAATTGAGCGGAACTGCGTGGGAAGGCAAGGGCCAGGRTAGCTGAGAATCTACACCTGCATTCCTGCTCCAATAAATCTGCACCAATTCCATATAGACATTAAAATTTTACCTGTTCATTGAAAAGTCAGGACACTGTCATATAAAAAAATGTCATATCTATACCAGCAAAACTTTATTTCTATTTTTTAATACAAAGTATTCTGGATCTTCTCTTAGTTTACCACTGAGGAAAATGTATGTTGCTGGAGATCTCATGAATTATTAGATCATTTAAATACAGAGATGTCAATATAAATGTGTGCATCTTTTAAACACAACTTGGACATGGAGTTTGATCATTGCAAATAGTTGTTTGTTGTTTGCTATTGGGCAACATGACTTACTGTTTGAGCACTGAGTGTTTTKTAACAAAACAAAACAACATCTATCAATGTTAAGCCTTTATTTCTAAATTGTACACAACTTCAACTGAATTATTTGGGCAGCCACCTTCATTACATACTCCAGTTATTTGTATTTTTTTGAAAAGCTACCCTTACTAATGATAAGCACTGCATTATATAAGCAACTCTACCATGACTCAAACTAACTCACAATTTTTGTAAACGATAACATTATTCCTGCATTTTCTCTTTAATCACCATTCCGGTAAATACATTTTCTATGAGGTCACAGAGACGAGGTTTCGGATGCCTACAGCAGGGAATTATCTGTGGGTCAGAACCATCATTACATATGACACCATCAGGAAAGCCATCTCGGCGAATCCTCCACCACATCTGCTTGCYTTAGACCTCTACATCAATGGGGTATGAGAAGACCAGCAGAGCAGATGATTATGCTTTGCAAAATGTCCCCCCGCTGCTCTGCGGACCCAAAAAAGTCATCTTTCTTTAATTGAACCCATTGCTTTTTAATGTTAGGCAATAGAGTTAAGAGGGGAGAGGCTCATACTTTGGGCTCAACGTATCAGCCCTGAATGTCTTCATAGCTGCCTTCYCTCTGAGGAGGATGTGAAGAGATAGAAAGCATTCTCCCCGCCTACCATTAGCAAACAGCACCTCCAGCAATCACTTTATTCAAAACGACCTGGTGACGTACCTCAGCCCAATCAATGGCATTTATCTGCTCTTTGTAAAAAGCCAATAATGAGARGAGACAGAGCAGGGAGAGAGGGGGYCAGGGGTGGRGTTATCACTCTAAAGTGCCCTCTTTGTTTATGTGTTTTGTTTAAATGAAAATAGAKCATAATCAGTCTGAATAAATGATTGGAATGGAGGGCTAACACTGATCAAGTGTTTATGGGTTCCAGTGACTGCAGCATGGTAATGCTGTGAGTTGCTGATCTTGTGCACTAGGACAGTAAAAGTGGGAGGATAGTCCGTCGTTTGAAAATGACGCTCAGTGATAAAAAAATGGCATTAAATATCACACAGAAAAACTCTAACAGGCCAGGATGAAACAAGCCGCTATGAGAGGATATTAAAACACAATAGTAAGATGTAAACACATTGGTAGTCGTCTGCTTGTTTTGGTTGATTTGTATAGCAAAGTGTGTGTGTGTGTGTGTGTGTGTGTGTGTGTGTGTGNGTGTGTGTGTGTGTGTGTGTGTGTGTGTGCGTGTTAAAATGATGAAAACTGAGACAAGCACACATCAAAGATGGGGTAAAGTGCCTAACATTTCAAAAATATTTCTCACTGAGCTGGATTTATTTAAAGAAAAATGATGCATTGGAAAAAAAAAGGCTAGGTGACAGATGTCATCACTTTGTTTGTAATAGCTTACGTTTTAAAAAAAGGAAAAAAATACWAAAAAACAACAACATTTTACCCACACTTCCCTTCAATCCCCAGCTGGTCTACAAACCTGCTGATGACACACACCTCTGCACTTACCTTGGGGTATGTGGCCCCATTAAGGACCTCTCCATTACGGATCCAAATGATTGAGGCTGCAGGTTTGGCGTTGTCAGCATGGCAAGTCAGGTTGAGCGGGTCACCTGCTCTCAGGCTCACTACTGGCCCCCCGCTGATGACCGGGTCATCGGGAGGAACTATTGACAAAGAAAAAAAAGAAAAAACAACTTGTAAGCCTAGGTTCTCATAAAGAATAGTAATTGTTACAAATGTGAGATAGTGAGCAATAATGGAACTGACTGTATCTGTGTGTGCACACTTGTTGATCTGTCTGTTGGCAAAATATCTCATGACCCACTGCATGGACTTTGATGAAACTTTCAGAAAGATATATTTATTTAAACTTTGATATCAACAGTAAAGTCAACATTATGTATTTGTTAGTAAAATATCTTACGAACCCTTGAAATTTTTTTAATTAAACCCATAATCTAAACCAGAGGTCTTCAGTCCTGTACATTGTGACCCACTGCCCTGCATCTTTTAACTGTTTCCCTGCTTCGGCACACCTGATTCAAATCATTAAATCACCTGCTCAGAATGCCATCAGGTTTAGCAGAAATCTAAATACGCATTCAAGGTAAGGTGCGTGGAAGCAGGGACACATCTAAAACATGCAGGACAGTTGTGTCTTGAGGGGCAAGYCTGAAAACCTCTGACGGTGCATGAAGGCACCTGCTCAGTTTGTTGTAAATGTCTACATCTTGATTTTTTGGTTCACCATACCAGCTTTATTTACAAAGAAATTTAAACACCTACAGGTCTAAAGTTCTGTACACATTATACAACATTCATTAAATCACACAACCTATCAAAATTAAATAAAAATAATATAAAACTCAACATCACAAATGGTGTTCCCAGGCCAGAGAGAAAAGATGGGTTTTAAAAAGGGATTTAAAAACAAACAGGGAAGAGGGACATTAAATAAATTGGGAKCTTTTGGCACAGTTGTTTGAAGATAAATAAAAAAAACATACACTTAGAGATTTAAACCCCACTTTCCCAAGTGGCAGCTCATTGCAGTTTCTACTGCACTAAGAAGATACCCAATGTCCATTTTACTACAATTGGTGCTTAAATTCTTAAAATCCTTGATTAGCATTTCATTACCTTATCAGTCACCTGTGATTGGATGCTCATCCCAAGTGAAGTTGGCTACTACGGAAATGGCTATAACTTATTTAAGTGTATAGAAGCTAAGCTAATATTAGCTGAGAGTTAAACCCAACAGAAATTATCTAAGATCTTGCAATGTATTTTGATCACATAACATTGTTTTCATTTGACCAAAAAATATCATTTTACAACCCCAAAGGTTAAGATTATCATAGTTTAACATTCTGATGTAAAATAAATAGTAGGCCTTTAGTTTACACATGTATTTGTTTTAGTTGTGTAAAAATGGCCTCTACAACACTACAGTGTAATAATAGTACAAATACATCATGAACTCCTTTTCTAAGGCCTAACTAGTGACAGCAGAAAACCTCGTCAATTTTCCAYTAATGACTGTGCTAAATGTAGACAAGATCCACAATGTGTGTTTGATTTGTGAAAAAAAATGTTGGTTTTGTCTTGTCGTTTCAAGCAAATAAACCCATAACTATTGTCAGCATGAGTGTGTATGGGGGTTACTATGATGTGAGAATTATAAATACACTCAGAGAACTGAAGGCAGRAGTTTGAGGCACAAAAACCCAAACCCTCACCATGATTCTCCAAATAACATTCAACTCCCTCGATACTGAGTGCAAAGCCTGTACACAACGTACTTGTTATCAGTAAATGTAAGTCAGTAAACTACTTTCCCCTGATCAGACACACATGTACGTTCTGTTCCTGTTTCTCTCAGTGTTGACAAATACAAGAGAGAGAGCATCTCAACCGTATGGGTGCCTCTAATGGTACAGATCAAAGTTCTGTTCCTGTTTTATCCACAAGCTGATCTGTTTTTTTTTCCTTTCTTTCCTCTTTTGGTTTTTTATACGTGAAACTGCTGTGAATTATTGATTGACCTGAGTTCTCATTACAATGCAGATCTGGGGCAAGATGAAATCAAAGGCTGCAGGCATCTGCCATATTCCCTTGCAATAGCATCACAATTGGGGAGAAGGTTGTTATGGGTTTTATATCAGCTGTCAAACAGACCTGAGATGTATAAAAAGGAAAGAAAATGTAATTTGGGATGTGTTTGTAGTTTTAATGAAAACAATGATAAAAGTATTCTTTTTAGGACAGACAGACGGTAGAGCAATGTGTGCATGCAGCAGTGCTCTTCACACAGTAATTAAAAGTAGGAAAAAAAACACATTACCGAAGTAAGTTATAGTTTCAAAAATAATAATTGATAAAAGAAATTGTATAGTTTTATCCCAGCCTTAGATAACAGAATATGTACCATCAAATATGCATTTTTTTCATTATACATTTATGACAAACTTTTTCTCAGCATTTAACCATCAATTTCCTGACAAGCAAAGGAAAATACATTCATCAACTTGGTATTTTTTTTATTTCTAACACAATCCTACCACAACAAAGAATCTTCATCTGCTCTTCAAGGTCACTGCATTCTATTTTGAAGAATGTCCTGTATCGCTTCAATTAATGACTTCTGTTATTTTTGTCAAATCTTTGAGTTGCAGTGTTCTCAAAAAAACAAAACAAAAAACAAAACAAAACACTAATTTCTCCTTCCTCTGATTTAATTTAGCTTAATTCTAAATAGATGTTTACAACTTGTAATTTGATTACATGAAGAGCAGAGCAGTTCTTTGTCAAACAAGCATTTTTTTGTCCTGCTGAATTTGATTAGTAGATGGAGGTGGCATTTCAGTTTTTAGCTGGTATGACTAATGCTTTCCCTTTACATAARGTTATTGATTAAAAAAATGCAGGATTTTTTTTCCCTTGTTCAAATGATCAGAAAACACACCCATCAGTACCAGTGACTAATGACTGAATCAGACCTGCGTGGGAACACTGAAGTCTGTACTCAGACTAAACCAGACTAACTCTAATTCTGGCCAGCTGGACCAGTGAATCTGCTATTTCAAAGAGATTTGCTGGTGCCTATATGTGCTTGAGTTTGGAGTTTGGAGTGTTAATTCTGGTTGGCTCCCTTTCATCTCCTCTTCATTAATATGCAGTGGGGGTGGGAGAGGTAGAGGAATCTTGGGTCAACGCAAGCAGTTCATACAAGTAAGTGTGCTGATCTAGACAAGTATCTCTGTGAGAATGTGGTCATCTTCTGTTCCCTTATCATCATTTGGAAACAAGGTCAGGAGGATCACATTCGTTTATTCTTTTTCTAAGAACAGAGCCACCGGACGGTATGCAAATAAGACAGAGGGCATGAGAAAAGCATTTTGAGCAAGGACTCTCCAGTTTAAAAGAAAAAAATAGTGAAGCTCACTTGATGACAGTTGATTTCAAAGATCCAGTGTTATTGGCTTGCTGTCAGCACTCTCCTGCACACATGACTGAAACATTAATTAAATGTCAAGCATATAAGGCAACCATAAAAGGCTCTATATGGTGAGGGGAAGATTAGATAGGAAAGTCTGACAGGCTTTGACTGATAGGACTCAGGCTTGAATACTTCACATTCAAGTGAGGTGATTTTCCTGTTATTGCTCAAAGTGCTCAAAGCTCTCAAGGAAGGTGAGATCACAAGCCCACCCACCCCCCAATGAAATATTCCTCCTTCACACATGTTAACACCTATCCAAGCCTGTATGTAGGTGCAAGTCTAAGAAATGACACCACTAATGAACTTGCTTATACCTTCACTGACTGGTGAAGCAAGTGACTATATTTTATTATAAATGTTCATTTCAGCTTTATGTTTTCCTTTGAAGGATGTCAGAAGTGTGAGTAGAGTTCAGGATTTCATGCGCAGTTGAGCCACATGAAAGTCACAGACAGCCACAACCGAGCTGAGGTGAACTTTCCGGTCATGGCTCTCTAAAGGAGGAGGGCCGGTTGCCAGAAGAACACTAAAGGTGAACGCTGAGTTCAGCAGCCAATGCAGTTTATGCTTGACTTCATCCGCTTCCACCTTTGYATGTGTTTCCTTCATTGTGTTTAAAGTGTTATGCAAAGTCAATGTGGTGACACCTGAAAAAGTCAAGATGAAAACTTTAAACTGAACAATGACCTTGATATGCTGAATTTATTCAGTGATGCTGGTCCCTGTCATAGTCTTGGAGCTGGGCACCATGGACATATGACAGAGCATGATAAGGGTTAATATTTTAATTATYCATAAGATATCTGTAACAAGGTTGTGACAGCAGCCAATTGGGGTCAAATATGTAGCATGGTGGCAGCAGATCAAAGGCAAGGAGCCTCATCAAGCAATTGAAAAATAACCGGGTTGGATGCTGTTTTCATGACTAGGCTACGACCGTGATTATTAAAAGAATCTAGTGCAGACATCATACCCYMAGAGGTAGCATCATGCTAGCATGGCAGGAGCTTCTACAGCTACCTACATCCTGGTGTGATCCAAGAAAATTATAGCAAGGTTAATCCCTTTGGATATTTTCCTCAAATTTGGCTTTCAAAAATGTGTAAATTTCATTGAAAAAAATCATTGTACACCCATACAATCAAGGTGACAGGATTAGTGTGTGTGTGTGTGTGTGTGTGTGTGTGTGTGTGTGTGTGTGTGTGTGTGTGTGTGTGTGT